ATGTCGAAACCCTGGGGTGGCATCGGCGCGTGGGCCGCCGAGGCCGAGCGAGAAGAAGCTGAGGAGCGTGAAGCTGCGGAAGCCGCAGCCGCTGCGGCATCTGCTGCCCTCACTGCTGAGTCGCAGAGTTTTCCTAGCCTAAGGGAAGCTGTTAGCGCGAAGACTAAGAAGAAGAAAATGACTCTCTCCGAGTTCACCATGGGGACTTATTCGTCGTCCGGCGGCGGCGCTAGGGTAACGGAATACACAGGCTGACACCCGAAGAGATGATGCTCCTACAACCCGACCAAGGAACGGTCCGCCGAGGAAATGCAGTATGGGCGTCTCGGAGGTGGGTTTCCGTCTTATGGGAGGTCCGGTACGCCTGCGGGTCGGGTTATGCGTGACCGTGAGGATAGCGACGGGTCATGGGGCTCCGGAAGGAGGGCGTACGGAGGTTTTGATGAAGAACGACGGGTCCGCCTTCTAGGGTTTCTGATTACGATCCCCGTCGCTGCGCGATGAGGTGGACAATTGGGCAATGGCTAAGAAAGCAACTCCTTCGTTTGATTCGGGCAGGCAAAATCGATACGGTGGGCTTGGAACTGGAGGTGGAGGTGGAATGTCTAGGGCCGATGAGGTTGATAATTGGACGGCTGGGAAACGGCCAATTCCAGTTCGATCTTCAACGTTTGGTTCCGGTTTCGTGACTCTGGACCTGAGCCTGATAGATGGACCCGAGGTGGTGGTGGTGGTGGGGGTGGATTCCTAGAGGAAAGGCCTAGATTAGTTTTGGATCCACCGAGAGGGGAAGTGAATGAGCCAGTAGTTAAAACGAATAAGCCGAATCCTTTTGGCGAAGCGAGGCCCAGGGAAGAGGTGTTGGCAGAGAAAGGATTGGATTGGAAGACGCTGGATTCTGAGATTGAGGCAAAGAAGGTAACTAGTAGGCCTACCGCGCACACTCTAGTAGGCCATCGAGTGCACAATCCAGCAGGTCCGAGGGTCCCCAGCAGCAAGGGATTGAAAATGTAGTGAAGCCGAGGCCAAAGGTGAATCCATTTGGGGATGCTAAGCCTAGAGAAGTTTTGCTGGAAGAACGAGGTCAGGATTGGCGTAAGATTGATCTTGAATTGGAACGTCGCAGGATGGAAAGGTTTCCATTTCATTTCTGTATTCATTTTGTTCATAATTTATTGCCAAATGGTTTTGGTGGAATCTTTTAGAATTGCTTTTGTTCTGTTTCCTTTAATGTTATTATTTATGATGGTTTTGAAGATGCTTTAGTGCTCAGCATATTTGCTGCAGTAAATTGCCTTATCTGTTTCTACATTGCTGTTATTGCAGATTCTTTTATTCTCCATAATTAGTGCGTATATTATGTTGTCTATTAAGCAATCCTATGTTTCTATGACTTTGAAATTAATGTGGAACAGTTCAAATATCATATGAAGAATATTATTTAAGGATGGGCCTAGATTTATGAATCATGTTGCTTTAAACCTAGAAAATGTAATTGTTCCCTATTGTTTTTTTCCCTTAAAATAGTTTTGTTCTTTTTGGTGGAGGCATGAATATTTTCTTGGAACCACTAAATCATTGGCCATTTTCTGATTGCTGCCGTGAATTTTGTGTAGCATGTGAGTTTTTCCAGTATCATATAAAAAATTAAACAATTCCTTTATATCTGTTCTCTATAGAGTGTTGAGTTGTTCTTAAGGGGGTGTTTTGGTATTGTGTAAGATCAATAGTTCATGCATTGCGTGCCTCTCTATCCTGCTGCGAATTGAGTTGTTTTAGAGTCGTTCTTCAATTTTTTTTTCTGTGGGGTGGGGGGGAGTTCGAGGAGACTTTTGGAGTTGTTTGAGCTTATATCTTTATTAGACAACACAGAACTGATAAGTTGCTGGTCTAGCTGCAAACAACTGAATTTACTTAACAGATTATTTACTGATTGAGCAGATTTTTTTTAAAGTGAGTATGGTTGCTGAAGCGCTTGATGGTGGAGTCTAGGGTTCCATCTTAGAAACTATTAATGGATTATGTGTGAGTTCTCAACAGATGTTAGGTTTCTGAATCAAGCTTGAGCGGCTTTTTCATGCATTAAAACCGAATTTGCTGTTGAATTTTAAAAAGAGTTTTTCAGTTATGAATTTGAAATATTTTCTTGGTTTTGGTACCACAAGTATTGGGGCTTGTTGAATAAAAAACTACGGCCAATTACTTTTTTTTTTCTTTCTTTTTTGGTGGGTTAGTGGAGTATAATAACCTTTTTCTTTCCTTTCTGGTCGGCCAGGGGATTCCTTTTATTTCTGTCTTCTTGACAGCTAAGTTTAGCCATGTTCCCAAATTTACATACATTTACCAAATAGGAAATGTTATAATTTTGATGTGGATGGGCATGCTTTTGGTCTAATATCTTTGCCACTTGATTGCCTTCTGCTGCAGGAAGTGAACACATATACACAATCCTTAACACTCTTCATAAGTCATTTGTAAATGAGATTACCCTGAGATTAATGTGGTGCACATGTAGGTAGCATATGCACCATTAGTCACATAGGAAACTTTACCTATAAACATTACATTTTGTTCCTTTTTAGTCCAAGACTAAGGCAGGATGAGTACTACCCTTTCCTCCCATTGTAGCACTTTGTTCAATCACTCTTCCACACGTCTTTGCTTCTTTAAAGTTCTTTAAGTACTTATTTATTTTAGGTTTCATACCTTTTTTTTTGTCACTCCAGCTGAAACGATGTTTTTTTTATGTGTATATGTGCTCGTTTTAAAATTTTGTGTGATATGTCAAGTTGTGTGCTTCCTTTATTTATCCTTATTTATCTTGGAGTTACCTTTAAACCAACATCATCTTTAATTCTTCTGCCAGATAATTTATGCATCATAGTTATAAGGTGTTACTTCATCAATTTTCTTTGTGACTTTCTATTGTTCTGTAGTAATAGAATGCTTTGTTTTGTCGGCGTGACTGCACATTCTTTCTGGTTTCCTTTGTAAGGTTGTCATCTAGATGATTTCAGATGCCCCAATCATTTTTTGTGTTTGCACACAATTGTTTCTCAATTCCCTTTTGTTCATATCTTGCTTGCAAGCAACTTTTGAATATATTGGCCCACCATTGTGTTCTTCATTTCTGATGAGAGAAATGTTTCAGGCCAGAAACAGAGCAGGAAAAGATATTGAAGGAAGAAATAGATAATCTAAAGAAGGAGATTGAGAAAGAATCAATATCAAAAGTAGAACCTGCTGGAGGCCAACCTACTTTACATGACACACTGCTTCACAAAGAAAGGGAATTAGGGATACTTATCCGAGATTTGGATAACAAAGTTAGATTTGGGCAGAAAGCTGTTGAAAGGCCTGGTTCTGGAGCTGGCAGGGTTGGCAGCTTACCTGATAGACCACCTTCTCAGTCTGGGTCTATTGATGGATCTAGAGGTGTGGACTTCATGGATAATAGGCCTAGATCTCGTGGTACTGCTGATGCATGGACAAGGCCTGGTGATGACCGAAGAGGATTTCAGGGTGGCAAGGATAGAGGTTTCCTGGGAAACAGAGATTTGGACAGGTAAGGATATAACATGTTACCAGTTTATTCTCTCATGCCTTTCCGCTCCTCCTTTCTGCAGTCTTCATGGAAAACTTTGCATCCTTAGCTGAGTAATTTGTTTCTCTGGTGCCCGCCTTTTTCTCACTTTGTAGATATAATGAATAGGAGAATTTGTGAGTTTTAGGAGAGTGCATTGGTATATTAAGGTGGCCTTTTCTGGCAGATTGATGCTGTTTTTTTTCCCTTTTTTTTTTTGAGAAAAAAAAAAGAAATGAAGTATTTACCATTGTTTTCATTCTATCCAATTCCATCTGTATATCATATTTTGAAATGGTTAACTAAATATTGGCTTGTGTTGTTCTTTCATTTCATTAGTGATGCTGTTTTGCCCATTGTAATGTGTTAAGAGTGCGCATGTCTGCTCTTAATATTTAGACTAGTCAAATGGCTAATAACATTATGTTGCTTTAAATGGCAGGTCCAGGTCAAGGGAGAGATGGTGAAGTGTAATTGGCAATTGATTTGTTAAATTCTATCCTCTACTTTTGACCTCTTGGACCAATAATATTTTGTCTTCTCACTTCTTATTAATTGTTCTCGTCTTTTTGCTCTGGTAAAGTGGGGCAAGGATTCTGGAGTATTGGAACACGGAACTCAGCGTTAATCTATTGTTACATCTTGAAACTATGTAAAATGGCCTTTCCACCGCTCTTCCTCTTTTTGGCTTTTTTGTTTTATTTTATTTTTTTTACCCCTAGGACTCAAATTTGATTTAGCAGACAAATGTGGGATTCACCAGTTTATTTTTGAGGATCCTTTGGAATGTTATATAGATAATCTGGTGTATTGTTCCTGAGGTTGAGTTTGTTAGTGAATTATTATTCCCACTGTTTTGCTTTTGGTGTGTGAGTGACATGATTGAGGTGGAAACTGTGGACTATGGTTTCCCTTGAAAGAAAGAAAGAAGAAATTAGTTTTAAAACAAAATTCCCAACTTGCTCATACTACATTTTGATCAGGGGTTGGCGTTGGGACTCTGTCTATGAACATGCGAGGGAGGACAAAATAAATGCCTTTGAAATGATGAAAAAGAGCCTCTAGAAATGAATTTGTTTTCATTTTCATTTGCACTACAGTTTGTTTCATGTTTTATTACTTATTTGATTATTTGCATTGTTAATTCATGCTGGATATACACTTATAAATAACGAAATGCTTAATTCATTGGGTTTACAATCAAAGCAAAACATGGACACAAAGGCTTTAGGAATTCAATTCGCTTTAGAGCTACAAACGTTTTATATTGCCCAACAATGGATCGAAAACGGAATCCGAATGAGAGTGCTCCTTTCCTTTCGAGACCTCATGTGGTTTGGCGTTGAAAAGTAGAAACAACTCAACGCCCAATTGGCGACCTTCTCAGGTTTCCTTCCTTTACTACTACGCCAACTTGTATTCTTTACTTGACAAACGACATTATCTTGTCTATTGTCTTTGGTATACTGCAATATGTAATAGTAACCCAGAATTTGTCTGATGCATTTGGCTTCCCCAGGTCCAAAATGAAGATGGTCAACTTCTTTAAGTATGGACTATGGACTATGGACCCCCCCTGCATCTCAATGAACAACTACTAGAGTTTTTTCCCCTCAAAGGATCTTGCCCTTGCCAAAGGTACAGTCTCTAATTTCCCGTCTAATCTTCTAATCCTTTGATTCCTCTCTGAGCCTGTGAATGCGGTGTGTATTTTTTCTCATCTTCTGCTCCGATGAACCTCTAGTCATTTTGCGTCTCTGAGAACTATCTTCATCTTAAGAACTAAAGCTGTCAATGTGGCGGCATCAATTTAGGCTTTTCCTCTGTTCACTGTTTCTAATCATATTCTTCTCTGTAACTGAATATAAAAATCCACAAAATCAATGATCTTTTCCAACTGGGTATTACATCTGTTATTAAGTTATAGGTTGATCCTCCTTCTCACTGTGCCACAATGCTCCGTATTAGCTGCTAAAAGTTTACTGTAACTGGTTTATCTGATATTGCTTCTTTTTTTGTTAAAGATCTGATAGATTTTGGGAAACCCTTCCATGGACTGTGGAAGCCTTACCAGTATTAGCAAAAGGGGGACTGTAATGGCAATGGCAATCGGCATGTCACTTGTGGCTTCGTTAGTCGGTTCATCTTGTGGTTGTCATTTTTCAGCAATTTACACATTGGGTGATTCAAACTCTGACACAGGAAGTGTCTCAGCAACATTTGGTCGGGTTCCTCCTCCTTATGGCGAGACCTTTTTTGGTAGGCCTTCTGGTCGGTATTCTGATGGGCGTCTGATCATCGATTTTATGGGTAACCGTGGCTTATTCAGTTGACATTTCTCTGAGTCAAGTTTGAAGTTTTGTGAAAGTTTGATTGCAGCTATAATAGGAGGAAAATTGCCCACATGTTGATAGATGGTTGGGAACTAAGCTCAAATTATGACCATTTCGACTGTATGTTCATTCAGGAAAGAGCCTGCTTTGATATTACAAAGTCAACTTTTGGTTAAAGCCATCTCACCATGTCATGGAACTCTTTTGGTTCTTTTTGTACCTCCATAGATGAGATGATCTCTTCAA